TTAAATAGAATTCGTGCCTCATATCGAATTTACCGAGTATCATAATTCCTCCAGGTGGTAAAGATACCTCGAGACAAGTGCTGGGCATAGAAGCCACAGGGCATAAATCTGCAAAGAAGTAAAAAGCTAACCTTTGCAAACAATATGGCTTCTCTCTCACTTACCAACTTTACATTTCCCTGTATGGCCCCGGAAGATGACTGGTTAGCCAGAGACGGGTAAGATTCCTCAAGGGAGGAACAACCTAAGACAGGCACAGTCGCAGGGGGGCCATCAGGTGAGAATTTGGGGATCAACAGAGGTGAGGCTCAGAACCTCACCCCCCCTGCTTTGAGAGAAATCTTCTGCATCCGTGGATGTCTTGCTGCCCTTGTCTAGCCTGGATTAATACTTAGTCCATAGGCACACACCTGATCATCTGATCATCTACATTTGCCCTCTTACAGCACTAAACTATGTTTTCTACCTTTATCTTGCATCTACCTACCACTTCAGCATTTTATTAAAAATAAAAATAATAATAATAATAAAGGGAGAAATGTGGGATCCACATATAAATCAAGTATAAAAATCAAACGAATATTCATATTTGACCTGATTGTTTATAGTTCATAATGCGTGATCAAAACCGAAAGTTTCTGTGATGACTGCCCTTGTACTGTTCACCATGTAAGAACTTATTCACTATGTAAGAATTTGTTCACCATGTAGGAACTTGTTCGTTATGCTTCAGAAGATTGGAGACTGATGAGAGTTAGGCTTGAGATGGATTAATGATTGTGCATTGAGCATTGACTCCCCTATACAGAATTTTGTTGTTAACAACCATTTGATCAATAAATATGAGAGATGCCCTCTCAAAAAAAAAATAATAATAACTTAGGCCAGCATATGAGGGCACTTGAATTTTAAGCAGAACTGCAAATAATATGAAAGGTATCTTACTTTATTTTTAATGTTCTGGAAAAGTGTGATGTGATCTTTTGAAATCATTTTTTTCACTTGTAATTTCTTTCACTGATATGGAATAAAGGTGACTGCTCTTATCAAGGAAAAAAAAAATAAGAGAGGCTATCAGCTACCTCACGTGCTTATTGGGAGGATTACATCACGTGATGTGTGCCCGGGTGCCGGGAATCCGCACGCTGTAGATGCTGGTGTGGCACCTGTTCCTCCAGGCTGTTACTGGTCACGTTTTTTTCTCTTCCTTCTAGTTCCCATTTGGCCGACGCTCGCCTTGTGACATCTACTGGCACGGAGTTTCATTTCATGACAACGATATACTGTCCGGTCAAGTGAACAAGTTTCCAGGTATTTGCTGTTATTGTTGGCATTGAAAAACGTTTCTAGGGCTGAGTCCAGGGCCGAGTCTCAGTTCTACAAAAACAGCATTTTGAGATCACACTTGAGGACCCTGATTGGGAAATGCTGCCTATAGGCTGCCGTGCTGCCATTACCTTGGGAGGGAACTTAACACAGAGGGAATCGGGCCCGACCCCAACGAGGGTTCAAAGACTGGAGGCTCAAAAACACAAGATGGGATTTCCTGGTCTAATTCCACATGATTTTCACCTTTTGGGTTACAGATGTAGTATGAGGGTTTAATGAGGGGACTAGATTTGCAAAATGAAAAAAAAAATAGACCGTTTCGCTTAAATTATTTGCAGGAAGTAGAAATATGAAAATTCTAGGAATATGTCACAAAAATGTCACCTTCCATTTTCTTTAGGCATCATATTTGGGGGTATCATTTAGAAAACCAAATACCCCAGTCTCCATTCTGGGAACATCAGGCTGCAGACAGGCCCTGCCATTTCCCAAAGGATATTATCTCAGTGGGACTTCCCTGCAAGGGGAACTCAGTGCTGGGAAAATGTCCCAGCCAGCACTTAAAATTCTCCCTCACTCCACTCCCAGCGTCCCCATATGCCTTTTCACTTCGTTTTAATCTTTACCACCCTCTCCTGCTGTGCTTGCTGTTCATTAGTTTTCATGGCTCCGTGAAGAGGCTGATTAAGGGGAGTGGGTGTGCTTAGGAAAAAAGGAGCATTTGGTCAAGCTGGGTATGATCACAGCCAAAGGGGCTTCACCTCTTTTCAGACGTTTTGACATAACGTGCACAAACCATACTGTAGCACAAGAATAAAGAATTTTTTAAAAGAACATTGCCCTGAATCCTTTCCCTCATTTAACAGAACAAAAATGTATTTCTATAATTCTTCCCAAACCTTAACCACGGCTATGTATCATTTCTACGTAGTTGTAGCCAGTGTGTAATTACCTGAACATAAGGTATTTTTTCTTAGTGTTGTATGATTTATACTTATTTTGTAAAAGAGAATAAATTTACTCTTTTTCTTTGGCATTCGATGCCACATCTTTAAGAGAGCACCTCTCAGAGAACCCAATAGCCATACATTATTCATTGGCTGATTCTGCTACATCCCCATCTAAGTGTGCAGACTACCAGAGGCCTTGCTTGGCTGGGGTTCACTTAGAAGAATTTAGGGCAGGAAAACACAGCTTGTGAGGTAATGTCAGGCATTTCTCCCCAGTGGTGTTTTTGCAAGGGTGAGGGGAGCTGGCTAGTCTCTGACCCCTCAAGTGAAGGAGGCAAGACCCACGTTGGTGGCTATGGGTCTGTTTTGGCTTGGACACCCACAGGAGCAGCCAGTATCTCATGTAGCTTCTCCATAGCTTAGCTTCCAGGGTCCCTGCCAGGGTGTGCTAAGTTTCAAGAATCACTGACACTCAAGAAAGCTTGGAGCTACAGCTTCCTTCCAAGTATTTATGCCATTTGCCTATTAGGGACCATTTCAGCCACATGCTTTGTTGTCTAGGAACGCAGCTAACTTTCCATCTTTATCAGTTTCCAGGGGAACAGAACTAGAAAATTAACCCAAGTTTAAACTTGTCCTTAGAGAAGGAGAGAAGGTTTTGTCAGAGAACAAGAATGATCCTTGTAGCCAGGTTCTCGCACACAGTTTAATGGCCTAGCTATTATTTTCTCTGTCTTGCTGCTCATAAAAGGTGACTTTTTAATGCCACTAAAAGGACTTCCTGGGGTCTTGGGAGAACATAATTTGGAAGAGAACAACCGTTTGAATGCGGACAGAGTTCCTAAGCATGAATCATCAAATGAGGCTTCATCTACATTTCCCCCATTTGCTCACGCCTCATCTAATGGCTGGGCTAGGAAAGAAGTAGAAGCTGTGGCTCTACATTTGGAACACAAACTAGAAATATGGAGAAAAATACCCCCAAAGGACTAGCTTCATTAAAGGTGATATGAGAATGTTCATTCAGGAGAAGCAGGTTTGCCCCATCCATATTCCATGTACCAGTGATTGGAGCATGTGATTTTCCACTTTACTAACAGCAGTTAATTAGCTGGAGACAAAGCAGGCTCTCGGCCTCCTGGCAGAGGAGCAGGGCCGCCCACCTGGGGCCCTGCCTAAGACCGCAGCCCTCAGGAACGAGGCCACCGCAGAACAACTGGTCCTTTGGCTCCAGTTTGTGTCCAGGCTTATCTTCTGTCTCTCACACAGCCTATTCTTCTAAAAGTGCCTTTTGTCTGTGTCGTGTATTACTCAGGTTAAGTTCTGGTGGACGTGCCAGGCAAGTATAAACAAACACCAAACAATGCTAAATAAACTGAAAACTTTTGGATTCCCATATGGAAGTAATTTATTTTGTGTCAGCGCATTAGATTTTAGCCACTTTTCTATGCAATGTCCTTCAAGACATGTTATTACGTCTTAACTGATGAATTGAGACATTCTGGAAATATGATCAGATTTAGATACATCTTTGCTTTAAGAAAGTCCAGAATTGTCAGTTCTCAGCTTCCAAGCAACAGCTCTTTGCAGAGTTTCAGGATCTGAGAGGTATGGCTGCACATGGCACGAGGGCCCACCATGAGGAGGGCCCTTGCTGTCAGAGAGAGGGGGCTCCTGTGAGGACCATACAGAGGCAGCCATCTGCCAAGCACTGGTCTGGGCTGGGGATACAGATACGGGGGGAAAGGCCCATAGAGAAAGAAGTCAAATTAAAAAATAGATGCTATGCCACAAGAAACTTGGGATGCCGTGGGAGTTTGGGACGAGGGCACGTGACCTAACCCAGGTTTGCATGGGGGACAGGCAGGGTGACAGGTACTGGAGAAGAAGATTGACATGTGAACCAAGCCTCCAGGGATGGATGGGCCTGACCCCCATGCAAAACAAGGGAGCAGAGTTGGTGCAAAGATGGAGGATTCTTGGGGCATGTCACTCATGCAATGGGCAAGTGGCATGATGGTCAGGAAGGGTCATGTGCAACAGGGACAGAAGGCAGGGACCAACATACAGCACTGTTACAGTCTGAGGGTCATGGGGAGCCACTTGGAAATTTCAAGCCAGAGAGTGACACATGCCAGCTGGTATTTTAGGAAGATAGATGCAGAGGGATGCGCTGGAGGTGGGTGGAAAGGCTGAGAGAGGAACCAGCTAAGCGGCTGCTGCAGCATTTGGGCAAAGGATTGACTAATCAGTGGCAGCAGGACTAGAGAGAGAAGGATGGCTCTGAAAGTATTCATTTGTTGTTTGGTGGTTGTAATGTATTTTTGCCAAAAATTATTATTATAAATGATACTTGGATTGAATAGTGCTCCCAACATAGCTCAGATTTTGCTTTGGTTTTATTTTTTTGGATTGGGTCAGGTAGGTCTGTGTGGGCAAGACTGAGGATCCAACTGTTATAGTCTGGTGCGTGAGATGCAGCAGGACTTGAACCTCCAGTGCAACAGACTGAAGAATGCAGGCCCAGACGAGTGGCAGGGGGCAAGCTCTTAGTGCAAGAAGCTGCCCTCTGAGTCAGGGAGTTTTCGCTTTTGGTAAGGAAGCTGTCACAATAGGGACATCTAGGATAGACCTAGCTGAGCAGCCCAGGTAGGCAGTCCTGTTAGAAGGCAGCAGGGGCCAGACACAGGGCTAAAGTCACAGGGGGACCCCAGCCCTTGCCGGGTGGGCTTGGGGAGAACAGAGGAGGAACACTGGAGAGAAAACAGCAAAGGCATTGCTCAGGCAGCCACTCAGGCCCCGGGCACAAAACATAGGCTACTAAAATCTGGGGACAAAGCAACGGAACCTCAGAAAAATAGTTAAAATCCTCCATATCTAATTGGAGTACAAAGTCAGGGTCAAATACTGCCTTGTTCTCAGTCTTGGTAGGGAGCTGATGGTTAGCCCTAGAGCCTTCACTCAGGCCAGAATGGGTCCCAGAGCCTCGGGCAGGGGTCCCAGGCTGGGGTTGCATGCTGCAGCTGCTTAGCAGAGGGAGCAGAGCCTATGGCCAGCAGACCCTGGCAGTGACCTCCCTTTTTAGCTGTTTACCCTGGGAACATGTGCTCTGGCTCAGCTGGAAACCCAGACACTCCTGTCAGCTTCTCACTGAGAGAAGATGACACTCCGCACAGCTATCTCTGAGCCACTGCCGGAAGCCCAGATGCCAGCAGCTTCCACATAGGGTCTAATGAGGGATGAGAGATGCCTTCCCTGGCAGCACTGGGTGGGAATACAGCATAGATATGGCAAAGGAGCAAAGGTTTCAGTGGTAACTGGGTAGAGGGAGGTCCACCCTGGTGCCTTCTGGAGACAGGAGCTCAGGCAGGGTTAGGGGTGAGCCATCTGCAGCCTTGGGGGTGGAAGTGTCTGGGAAAAGCAGCCATCGGCTTGTAGGGCTTTTTAAGTTGCCTCTTTTCAGTAGAGAAGTACCTGCAGACAGACACAAAGGCAAACTTGGAAACATCTGCCAGCTGGTGTGGGGACTGAAGATCCACATAACAAAGTGAGCCAGTGCAGATTTCAAATGAGTATTTGCTCCGTTTGCTGGGCACTGATTTTCACAAAACTTCCCTGGCGCATTCACACCTCACTCTACTCACAGCGCTTCTGTCCGCGCCGTGGGAGTCCGTCTGACCTGCCCAGGGGTTTCTGAACCTACCCGCGGCACTCTGCCATTAAAACGCAGAAAACACCACAGCGCTTTTTGGTCAGAAGACTTCATCTCCTTGTTATAAGGGACTGGATTGCAGTTAGTTATGGAGGTTTTCAGTTTGATGCTATTACCAAAATGGTAGGCAAATATAAGTAAAAAGATTCCCCAAAAGTTGAAATTTTGTTTTGTGTGCTTTGTGTTTGGCTCCAGTGTTTACAACTCAAAACTCCTGATCTCATAAGGAAGTAAAAAAGGGAAATGGCTATAATTTTCCAGACTCATAATTATTTCTTGGACAGCTCAGAGCAGTGTGCTCAGTGAGTTTTCTTTAATACCGAAGAGTTCACCTGAGAGCACAGTTTATTAGTGCTTCTTAAGCGCCTTTATTTCTCTCTTAATCATTCTCTATATCCTCTAAACAAGAACTAAGAATCTGGGCATTGACATCTTGAAGCTGTGATCTTTAGATTTATTGCTCTTTTTAATGCTGAGGGAAGCAAGAAATAGGTTATTAAAACCTTCATTCTCAAATGTTCACCCTTTGCTTCCTGAACAAGGGAGTTCAGAGAAACCACATTCATTCTGATTGTGCCCAGTTGGAACTTGTGGTAATTCAGACATGCCAAGCTGACATCTAACTTTGTACTTTCTATTAAAAATAACCTTGCTAAGCAAATTTCTAGTGTCAGCGGTGGAACTGTGTGGCCTCTTTCAGGATGAAGGCCATTTTTAGTCTCCATTTTTAGCAGTGATATTTGCCTTAAGAAGTTAGCATGCTACACTTTAAAAGGATTTTTACCTATTTTCTTAAAATTTGCCAAGATCTACACTGTTTCTTCTCCTGTCAGAGTTACTGAAGATGTTGCAAGAAAAAAAAAAAAACTACTGTTCTTTTAAAATGTTTTATAAGTGAGACATTTCAGTCCCCTCTGGGCAAATTAATGAGATCTGATCAATGTCAGTGTCAGTATTTCTAACTGAAGAACTCCTACAGATTCCATTTTTCCCCTTAAACTATAAATCATGCTATGATATCCTTTTCCCTTCCTGTCCTTATTTCAAGGAGACAGATTTTATGCTGAAAGGTTTGTATATTTCTATTTTATACCGTTAATACTCATGAAAGATTAAAACAAAGCAACTTAATTAAGCTTCTCATAATATAATCAGAGTCCATTAGGTAGTATTCTCTAGGGTGTAAGATGGAAAAATCTCAGAATTATGTAGGGTAGCCCCAAATTAAAGAGGATATTAAGTTTTAAGCTCAAGATGTAAATGCTCTTCTTTATTCATTATCTAGGAGGATGACAAAGAATGGAATAATAAACTAGGTGGAAGCTCATTCTTTCAAACTGGTGCTTCATTTTTGTAAGGAGCAAAAAATAATCCATCTAGGACCTCAAGTTTTTCATTTAGTTGGTAGGTCTTTCCAAACCATGAGTTACCGCTGTGGGGAACAATTCATACCTTTTTAAAAATTCTGTCTGAAAAAGTGAATCTGTCGGGTGGGTAGTTTTAAAAGTCCAAAATAATGGCTGTTTTATAGCGAGTGGCCCACTGTTGTTAAAACCTCACAGCTTCTCTTCTCCCCAGGCATGACGGAGATGGTGCGTAAAATTACTCTGAGCAGAGCGGTGAGAATCATGCAGAATCTCTTTCCTGAGGAGTACAACTTCTACCCTTGCTCATGGATTCTGCCTGACGAGTTCCAGCTCTTTGTTGCTCAGGTAGATGGCACTCCGTCCCCATGACCCTTGAATTATATTATGGTGGCACCTGTGGCCTGGGAGCTGTGTGCTGGGTCCCGTGTGCTGGGAGCTGGGGCAAGCGGTCCTCAGGAATGTGAGGCTGGCTAAGGGAGCATGTTAACAGTACACAGTAGGTGTTGGCAGCGATCAGGGCAACTTGCAGAGTTGAACGGGTATGGTGACAGGTAGGTAAACTGACCAACTGGGTCGTGATGCAAGGAAGACAGGTCTGAGGCTCATCTCCTTTGCTGGATCATAAACTTGCTTGGCATTTGGAGAGCCAGGGAGACTGCAGGAGCAGGTGGCTGAGCCCCAGGGACACTGGGACTGTCTGGGTGAATCCTAGAGGTATGGTCTCCCCAGCATCCTATGGTATGAAATGTGGGGGACTGGGCTCCATTTCAGGCTGGGGAGTAGGTCTGACAAACTGAGGGGGAAACTCTTTAAGTGTCCTGCTTTAAGTCTGTTCCAGAATCGGTTTACAAATCACCCATTCTATATTGAAGCAATATGCTTGAGCATGAAATATTTGGGGACTTCACTACTGATTGTGAAACAGAACCAGCAGGGAAGCTGGATTCAGAATTGTCATTTTTCTTAGTCTTTTATGGCTTCTCTTAGGACCATTTTAAAGCCTTTGCCTTTGCCAACAGATCCCGTGATCCACACCATACCTCTGCTAAGGATTCTATAACAAATGCCTGTCTAACTGTGATAGGCTAGTGCTGTTTATTGGTCCTACTATGTTCCAGGCATTGTACTAGAAGTGTAACATTATTTCTTTTTATTCTCACAGCAATCTTGTGAAGTTGGTTGTATTATTTTGCCTGTCTTAGGGATGGGGAAACTGAGGCTCTGAGAAATTAAATGACTAGCTCAGGAAGTACGATTTAAACCTATAGCCGATTTCAAGGCCTATATTTTTTAGACTCTATCTTATAGCCTGCATGTTGTTTTGGTATTAATATTAAATTATAAAACTTGTAATAATATTATGATTTGTTAAGCACAAAAAAAGCTTGAAGAGGTAATTTTTAAAAGGAAGCTTTCTCTGGGATGGTGGTCATATGGGTCTATGCATTTCTTAAAATTAATTGACTTAGTAACTTAAAATGACCGTTTTGTATTGCTGCCAATTATGCTTCAATAAAGTTAATTAAAAAATAAACTATCAGCTGCTCCCCACACTCACCCCCAATTTCCCACTTCTGCAGCTCCACTCACACTGCATCCCTCTGTGGAATAACTTTCCTCCTCATTTCTACAACTCTATAACTATTCTGCAAAGCCAAATTTAAATGAGATGCCAACTGTGCTTTCAAAATCAAATAAGTAAGAAGAGCATTTCCATCACCCCCAGGAGATCCTCTGTGCCTTTCTGCAGTCAATCCCTTCAAACCCAAGCCCAGACAACTGCTGATTGACATTCCCATTATAGATGAGTTTTGCCTTTTCAAGGAATCCCTGTAAATGGAATCTTACAGTATGTAGCTTTTGGAGTCTTTTTTGTTCTTTCAGAATTATGTTTTTGAGATCCATCCATGCTTGTTTTGTGTATCAGGGGCTTGTATTTTATTTTTACTGTGTTCTATTGTATGAATATACCACAATTTGTTTATCCACTCACCTATTGATGGACATTTGGGTTATTTCCAGTTTGAGGATATTATAAATAAAGCTGGCATGACTAATCATGTACAAGTCATTTTATGACATATTTTAATTTCTCTTGGGTAATACCTAGGAGTCGAATTTTTTGATCATGTGGAATGTGTTTTTTTTTCAATTAAAGTATCATTGATACACAATCTTATGAAGGTTTCACATGAGCAACACTGTGGTTTCAACATTCACCCATAGTATCAAGTACCCCCTCCTCCCCCTACACCCCATTGCAGTCACTGTCATCAGCATAGTAAGATACTATAGAGTCATTACTGGTCTTCTCTGTGCTATACTGCCTTCCCCCTGACCTACCTATATTGTGTGTGCTAATTATAATGCTCCTTAATCCCCTTCTCCCTCCCTCCCCATCCACCCTCCCCCACCCCTCCCCTTTGGTAACCCTAGTCCCTTCTTGGAGTCTGTGAGTCTGTTGCTGTTTTGTTCCTTCAATTTTGCTTAGTTCTTATACTCCACAAATGAATGAAATAATTTGGTACTTGTCATTGTCTGCCTGGCTTACTTCACAAAGCATAATACCCTCTAGTTCCATCCATGTTGCAAATGGTAGGATTTATTTTATTCTTATGGCTGAATAATATTCCATTCTATATATGTACCACATCTTCTTTATCCATTCATCTGCTGATGGACACTTAGGTTGCTTCCATTTCTTGGCTATTGTAAATACTGCTGCAATAAACATAGGGGTGCATTTAACTTTTTGAATCAGGGATCTTGTTTTCTTCGGGTAAATTCCTAGAAGTGGAATTCCTGGATCAAATGGTATTTCTATTTTTAGTTTTTTGAGGAACCTCCATATTGCTTTCCACAATGGTTGAATTCATGTACATTCCTGCCAGCAGTGTAGGAGGGTTTCCCTTTCTCCGCATCCTTGCCAGCATTTGTTGTTCCTTGTCTTTTGGATGGTGACCATCCTAACTGGTGTGAGGTGATATCTCATGTGGTTTTAATTTGCATTTCTCTGATGATTAGCGATGTGGAGCATCTTTTCATATTCCCATTGGCCATCTGAATTTCTTCTTTGAAGAAGCGTCTGTTCAGATCCTCCACCCATTTCTTAATTGGGTTATTTGTTTTTTGGGTGTTGAGGCATGTGAGATTTTTATGTATTTTGGATGTGGTATGTGTATGTTTATAAGAAATTGCCAAACTGTTCTCCAAAGTGGTTGTGCCATTTTATATTCCCATCAGCAATGTATGAGCATTCTAGTTCTTCCATATCCATGACAACACTTGGTGATAGCTGCTCTTTTTAATTTAACCATTCTAATAAGTGCACAGTGTCTTCTCATTGGTTTTAATTTGTATTTCCCTAATTCTTAATGACATTAAACATTATCTCATGTGCTTATTTGCCATCCAAATATATTCTTTGATAAAATATCTATTCATGTCTTGTGCTTGTTAAAAAACCTGAGTTGTTTATTTTTGAGTTTCAAGACTTCTTTATGTATTTTGAATATAGGTATTTATCACATATACCAATTGAAAATATTTTCTCCCCAGTCTATGCCTTCTCTTTTCATTCTCTTGAGAGTATCTTTTGAAGACCAGATTTTTATTTCTGATGAAGTCCAGTTTATCCATCTGATCTTTTATGGATCATGCTTTTGGTGTCATATATAAGGAATCCTCACCTAAGTCAAGCTCTCAAAGATGTTCTCCTATGTTTTTGTCTATAAGTTTTATAGTTTTAAGTTTAGGTCTATGATTTGTGTTAATTTTTCAATATAATGTGAGGTATGGATTGAAGTTTACTTTTTTTGCACATGGATATCCAATTGTTTCAGAAACATTTGAATACTAACCTCCTTGAAATTGCCTTGTGCATATATTGAAAATAGTTGCTCAGGTATCTGTAGGTGTATTTCTGAATCCTCTATTTTATTACATTGATATATTTGTCTGTCTTTATGCCAATACGTCACAGTGTTGGTTACTATAGTGTTATAATAAATGTTGAAATCAGTATGTGTAAGTCTTCCAACTTTGTTCTTCTGTTTCAGAGTGTCTAGGCTATTACAGCTTTTTGATCTGCCATATGAATTTTAGAATCAGCTTTTCAATATCTACAAAAGAGCTTGCAGGGGTTTGGATCGGGATTGCACTGAATCTATATATCACTTTAGGTAGAATCTACATCTTAATAATGTTGAGTCTCCTGACCCATGAACATGGTATATCTCTTCTTTTATTTGGGTCTTTTAAATTTCTTAGAGCAATTTTTATTAGTTTTTAGTGTACAGGTCTTTCACATCTTTTGTCAAATTTATATTAGGTATTTCAGATTTTTGATACACTGGCAATGTCTTATTTTTAAACTTCAATCTCTAGTTGTTTATTGTGAATATGTAGAAATAAAATTGATTCTTGTATATTGGTCTTGTATCCTGCAACCTTGCTAAACTCACTTGAGAGTTTCAGTAGCTTATTTTGTAGGTTCCATTGGATTTTCTGTATAGACTATCATGGTCTCCTGGAATAGGACGGTTTAATTATGTCTTATATTCCAATTAGCTCTTTATTTATTTTTCTTGCCTAATTGCACTGGCTAGAACCCCCATACAATGTTGAGTGGAAGTGGTGAGAGAAGATATCCTGGACTTGTTCTTGATCTTAGGGGACACACCATTAGTTTTTCATTGTTAAGTATGGTGTTGGTTATAGATTTATTGTAGTTGCTCTTTATCAGGTTGATGAAGTTTCCTTCTATTGCTTATTTCCATGGATTTTGTTTAATTTTTTAATGAAGAATGGATATGGATTTTGTTACTTTTCTTGAGTCTGAGATTGTCATATGGATTTTGTTTTTTAGTTTATTAATAGGGTAAATTATATTGATTGATTTTTAAATATTAAACAATCTTTCTGTTGCTAGGATAAATATCACTTGGTCATGGTACATCCTTCCACATCACTGCTGCCAAGTATCCCCCGTTAAATGGATGCACCATGACTTTCAAAATCATTCTCCTGTTGATGCACATATAATGCTGTGGGGAACACCTCATGTAGGTATCTTTATACACCTGTGCCAGCATCACCTTCACATAACTATCTCAAAGTAACATTGCTAAAGGATAATGTGCATTTATGTTTTTCACAGGTAAGGCCAAACCAGGCTTTGAAATGGTGCACTTGATTGTGCCGGTAAACAAAGTCTTGTCAATGCACTGAAAGTGAGCTCAGCTCCCAGCCGTGTGCACTTGGGCTTTGCTCTGTGACTCCTGGTAACAACTGGAGGACGTAGGAGTAGCTGAAAAACATTTAAAACATCCCACTCTGTAGGTGTT